ATTTTCTTTTTTAATTATTATTAAATTATTCAATTTGATAATTCCAAAATATATTAAGTTTTTCACTTTTCGAGTATAATTTCAAAAGGGACATTTTCTTTACCCGGTTGTTTTAATTAATATTTTGTTTAAATATATTTAATTCAATTCATACTCGAATATTTAATTTATTAAAACAAATATTTTTAATTAAATGTCAGCAATAAATTTTAAAAATAAATTTATATTTTCACTTTTCAAGTATAATTTTGTTTGATCTTTCCCTCATCATTGCTATATATTCTTTATAATAACAAAGCCTCCTAATAATGTATAGTAGTTAAAAGCGCAAAGTTAAAAGTCAGTAAATTAAATATGTCTGTCCTGTCTCCCATATATTATTCCATTACTTTTTATTTAATTTTATATTATTTTTTTTTTTGTTCAAGAGTATCATTTGTTAATTTGAATGATTAAATATTTATTGTAATTCATACAAGTATGCTCACTTTTGTCAAGCTAAATGTAAATTCTTTTCCATTTTTTTGTTGATTATCAACAGAATTGATCAATAATTAATTTGAATTTATATTGATTGATTCAACACCGCGCCACGCCCATTGCATGTTTATTGCCAGGCATTTGTGTCGCCATTTTTTCAGCTTCTGCTGGCCACTTGCTTTTGTTTTGTCTTTTTTGTTGTTGCTTTACAGTCATTCGCATTGGCGTTAATTATTTAATTAAATTTAAAATTGGCATATTTTTTTTTTAACTCATCGAATGTGCGTGTAATTGAGCTGGTTGTCGAGTGCGCAATGTGCTGCTTGTAATTAAATGTCGTTAACTGTGCGTGGACAGCAGCAATAAGCTTAATCCTTTTGCGAGCACGCATTGATTGCCAATTGTGAGTGGCGACGAATTCAAAATGCTGCTTCAGTGTGCATAAGTGTCTATAGATTGGAATCGTTGGAATAAAATAGCTAACGCTGTTAGGTTTGATATGATTAATTTGTTTTTTTTTTTTTTTTTGAATTTGTCAAAGATTCGTAAATAAATAACTCAATTTTATTTTAAATTAAATTATTTAAATATGTCGTAATATAAACGTAAATAGAAGTATATT